TTTCATCTATAGATCTCTGTGATAAGAAGAACATAGTGAAAGTCTAATTTATTGCAACTAAATAGTTGACTGTTAAACATTTCTTTTTGTGAGACTGTAAATTCTACCTGTTGACATAAGCTCGATCTTAGCTACTTTCTGGGCTGGATTGCTTCATCATTTGGAATTAACTCCTTGCAGACATTTACAAGAGTTACTATTTCTTGCTAGCGTATTATGAAAAGGAAAAATCCCAAAAGAGAAAGAGAAATAAATTGGCAAAATGCTTTGGTGCTAATTGTAGGCATGGCCACATTTATTGTTATACAAATCAATTAGGACAGCGTTTTGTGAGTCTTAATTGAGGAAATCTGCTGTTTATTTATTTCTTTTACTGCTAAACTTGGTCTTAGAACATGCCGTATTTCAATCACATCATTTGCCTACTACTATAGGAAACTTTTTTTTTTAGTGCACACTGAAAATGTAAGACTACGTTACAAGGTGTACCCACTGTGTATCTTCTAATATAAGTAATAAATTCTGAAGGGCCTGTTGAAATAAAACACTAGTGAGAATTCTTGTATTACTTACAGACTTTGGAATTTGCCCTCTATTTAACCACAGATTTTTGGCTTTAATTCTGAAAAATGATAAATAATTTAGAGTTCCTTTGTTTTCATTGTCTCAGCAGGAGACCTTTCATATGAGCTTGGGTTCACTTTCAAATTTGCTTTAGAGTGAATGAGGTTCTTTACAGTTGTCTGAAAGTAGTTGCCCAAATTATGAGTTAGTGTTGCAACACACATTTGTGTAATATATATATTTATATATGGTGCATGTGTTTAAAAAAAAAAAAAAAAAACCTTTAAAAACTAAAAGAAAAAAGTAATAGTGTAACTTGTGTCTGACAGGTTTTTGTTATACTGAAAGATGTGTGAAGAGTCTTATTCTGTCTTTATTCTGCTCTGAGAGAAATCTGAAGGCTGTCCCTTAGTATAGTTTGGGCAGTGAGTGGAGAGAATGTCCCTAAATGTAGCTGGAAGCTCCACTTGTTGAAGCAAGCATTTTGAATTGATGTGCTGAGGTTGATCTGGTGGCTCAGTGTGATCCCAGGAAGTAGGATGGTGACTCTGAGCTGCTGAAGCTTCTACTTAAAAAATTGTGGAGAAAAGGCAGATGGAAGCGTGAGTTCAAATGTTTCATTTACATAAGTCATTGGTATTTTTGCCAGATTTCTTTTTAAAGTCTGATGGAAGTCATATGAAGATGTATATCATCTTTTTGAATTAAATATGACATGAATACTGGCTGGTGACAGTACTTAGGCTTATTGGCCTTGATCCAGAGCTAAGCAGATGTTTGTGAAGAGTTCAGATACAAATAAACTTTGAAGCTGTGAGTCACATTAGTGAAATAAAGGTGTGCTAATGTGCTTTGTTCAGGGAGGACTTGTTAAATCATGAGACCAAAAGAGTTTCCTTGGCCTCTCAGTGAGGTTATCCTGGCAACCAAAAGGACTGGGCTAACGAGGATAGCCCTAAACATGTTTTTCCTTGGTGAGGAAAAGCTAGCTAGAAGGAGCGAGTGGCGAGGAGGTTGCAAGGAAGCAGAGTGTCTGTTGTTGGAGCAAAAGGAGAGGGATTGCAGTGAGCAGTTCTGCTTTGGTGATCTTTTTGTGGGAGGGGAGAGAAGGGATTTCTAAAAATAGTAAAATATGATCGTCCAGTACTGGCTTTTGTTACCATCACCCACTTGAGTTCTGCTTTCAAGATTTATTATATCACTCTTAAATCTCTTGGAGTCATTACAATCTTGCCTTTCATCTAGTCTGTATATAAATAATTGATCATCATAAGGATTGAAAACTGTGGAAATGAAGACAGCTTAACACAGATATTCTTTATGACATCAATTACAAGGGGAATCATTTGATGAGAACAGAATATTTCAAATGGTACAATAATGCTGGCTTCTAAAATTACTTTGTATTTGAAATGAAATGTGCACGCTGATTGGTTCTGTTGCCAGTTTATGGAGAAAGTATATTATGGTTCAATGAAAAAGATGGTTAATTATCTGCACGCAGGGCTTGCTTCACTCCTCCCTGCTTCTCTTCTGCTCTCGTACAACTCTGTTGAAGTAGCTGTGTACAAATGGAGTAATGCAGTGGTGAATCAGGCCTGTGTTTTGTAAGTAATTTATTGCAAGCATTTGCAGTACTGAGAGGGGAAACATTCAGGCGTGTTCATTGCTGAGATTTAAACTCCCAGAGCTGCGTTCAGCTGGCAGCAGTCTCATGTCACAGGGTTAGACACTGAGCGCGGCAGCTATGACAGTAGCTGAGCACGTTTGTTGTGTTAAGACCTGGTAACATGCTAAAAGACTGTAAACAGTGAAAGGAAGCTGAAGTTCAAGTGATATTTTTTTTGGACGCTTTATGTAGTGTTGACTGTTAAACTTACACATTCGGTTAACTGGTGAGGACACTTCCTCTCCCATTTGTTAGTTGTCACATTGATAATTTGTGTCATTTCCCCATTCATCCATTTGCAGGTGACGCATGGCTTGGATCAGTATTCAAGCTACTGAAGGAAGCACAAGCAAGGTGCAGAAGTATTCATGGTGTGCTAGGAAGTGCTCCTGGTTGTCTGGAGTGCTCATCTCCAGCTGCCAGGAGCATGCTGGACGTGTGCAGGGCAACAATGCCATATTATATAACGTGTCTGTTGAAGGAGGAGTGTGTCAGAAACTGCTTTAATCTGTATGAACAAGTATCTGCATGGTAGTGACTTCTGTAATGGGGACTGAAGAAAAAATTAATCTCAAGTAATGTGTTAAGAGCTTGGCTTTATGAGCCATTTCTAGAACTAGACAACATCAAAAATACACAGCAGAATTGTTTCATGGTGGATGGTCTCAAGAAATGATAGGAATTGAGCTGTGAAAGAAGAGTTAAAGAATATTCCAATTAGCATGGGTGAGAAAGGCAGCATTAACTCCGGGTGTGTATTGTGTGATATTTTCAGAACTATTTCACGTTTTAAATACATCGTGTATCTGTTCCATTGCTATCTCATGTAAATCCTTTTTGCCACAGTGTTGGTGTGGTTATATGTTGTAACTGTTTATGGAGCTGGGATGAGAGAAGTTGGAAACTGAATTTATGACGAACAAAAATTCATGGTGTTAGCTTAATTGTTAGCTTTTATCTTGTTGAGGATTCAATTCAAAAAATACCGCTGTGTGTGCTCTGAAATCAGGTCATTTTCAGACTGAAATATTTCAGTGCTGTTTTTCCAGAGATAACAGATGAACAATTCATTTTTTAATTGTGGTAGCTTCTCTTTGTGTCCTTTGACTTCCAACCAAAATTATCACAGTATGTCCTAATAGGTTTTCTTACTGTTGTTATTTGTTCCTATTCGGTAGTTGTCAGAAGCCCATCATGCTTATGCCATCTGAGCAGTAGTAAGGATAGGCACAAAACCATTGGTTTGCAGTTAGAACTGCGCAGGAATATGCAGACAGCTCTTTGATTCCTTTTAGTGTATTAGGGTATGTAAGGAGTTTGGGCAGAGATACTTGGTTTTGGAGTTAAGCATTTTAGCATGATATACCCTCTTATGGTATTAGTTAGACAAAGTATTTGTCTTGCATCTCTTTCCCTAGAGGTACCAGATGCAAAACTCCATCAAACTTCTGCTTCCAGACAGGGCTTTGAGAGACCTTAAAAGACCAATTCTCCCAATTTCAAGTGATGCTTACAAGGCAAGAGAAGAATATATTGTTCACAGAGAGGCAGGAATAATGGCCCACAGATAAACGAGGGTAGGTTCTGCATGGAAGACTCCAGAGTTTATTATCCATTTAATTATTTCATTTATTCTGAGTTGTTTTCTAGAGCTGTTCTTCCTCTACTTTTTTTTATATTTTGGTGGTGAACATACCTACATTGCAACAACCTGAAGAATGCATGCATTGCATGTTGATCCTGGTAGATGATGGAAGTTCATACAGCAAAGAGAAGTTCAGAAATGGACCAGGCAGCAGAAAGGATTGCTTATGCTGACTGGAAAGCAGCATCCATTTTGAATATCACTTAATTGCACATTTTTCCAGACCGGGTTTGCACAAACCAGACTGAGTGCATTTTCAGGTTTTGGTACCAAACAGTCACATTGAGAAGTTGAATTGTAATTTTATGTAAGAGAGACAGATGCCTGTAATTAATGATAGGATTTCATTTCCAAGGGTTTGTGATTGCTTTGAGGAGTTAATGAGAACCACAGAGTGTAATACAATATCTTGTTGATTTAGACAGTAGTTTATTTTCTGTATTCTTTCATTTGAGACACTCAGGTATGAACAGATGTGCAGATGTTAGTCTGGTGTGTAGTGTGCCCAGAGGGGGAAGCGTAGATCAGGGATGATTTTTAAAACATTTCTTTTTAAGGTGTGGGATGTAATACCTTCAGGGGTTACCTTTCTGAAACTTCTAGATGACATTTCTAAACAGCTACTGAGAAAATGAGTCCTTCCATTTAAATAATATCAAAAAGAAGCTGTGCTTAAGAAGTAGCTGTAAGATCTATTCCCACTGCTGACAGATGTAATTTTTATTTGCTATTTCGGAAAGTGCTTGAAGTTGTTTTTCCTTTCCCAGTCATAGCAGTGTCCTTTGGGAAAACAAGTATGATGCTCTTGAATTTTTTTCCTTGTAGTTACCAACTCCTTCAATTAAAGGTGAAATGTTAGAGACGAGGAAACAGTAATATTTTTCATTATGAATAGTCATAGAATTGCTCAACTTGGAAAAGAGCTTAAAGATCATAGAATCCAACTACAACCTTACCATACTATCCTAATTAACAACCCTTTGCTAAATCGTGTCCTTGAGCACCTCATCCAAATGGTTTTTGAACACATCCAGGGATGGTGACTCAACCACTTCCCTGGGGAGCAGTGCTTAACAACCCTTTCTGTAAAGAAGTTTTTCCTGATACCCAACCTAAAGTTCCCCTGACGCAACTTGAGGCCGTTTCCCCTCATCATGTCGCCGGTGAGAAGAGACAAATCCTGCTCTCGCTGTAAGTATTCAAGCTCTTTGCTTGAATAGTGGTGGACATTCATATTCTAAGGGACTATGTGAGAAATGTTAAGGAAGTAATGAGGTTTGTCTATGCAAATTCAAGGACAAGTTACATCTGACAGCACTAATTACTGAACTTTTTCAGCTATTTCTTGAGCAGTTAAATCTAGTTATAATAATGCTACCTTTTAATGTTTAACAGTTTCTAACCCTGGGTTTATATGTGCTTTCTAAGACCTAGCACTATATTCTCCATTGCAGTGATGTATGTGAGCTCAAATCACAGATTAGGACATCACTGTGTACGGATGGAACAAAAATACATTTGCAGTTAGTCACAGCCAGGTCTGCATGCTGATTTAGTTTGGTTGGGGGGTTGAATTACTCTACTGCCTGGGTAGAGCTAGCCAAAGGACTACCATTTATTGAAAACTTGCCCCACATTGCAGTAATAATCATCATGTGCTCTCAAGGTCTGTAAGATTCACATCATCAGCTTTAGCTGCCTGCAGTTTGTTGTCTGGGAATGTGTTCAGAAATAGATGGATAAATTCAGGGCACCCTGGTAGAGCCTTGATATCTTCCTTCATGCTAAAGGGAGGATGGACAGCAAGCTCAAATGGGACTTTGGTAACTTTTAGATGATTAAATTAAGTAAGCCTAAGTCTGCCTTGTCAAAATGAGACCAAGTTCTTACTATGATTTCATGCTCATTTTTTTTTCCTGAGTTTCCAGGCTGTTTGAAAAGTAAGGAGAGATTGCTTTTCTTCCCTACTCAGTGCCTTTAATGATTATTTGTCTGGCTTGCTGCTAAGCTTTCAGCATCCTGGAGCCTGTGAATTTTCAGACACAGTGGTGCCTTCCAGAGGGGAGCTGGACTACTCAGTATTTTCCTCACCAGCAATTCCCTAGCTTCTCCTTTGATTTTGGGAGTATGGCACAAAGTCAGCCACTCTCTCAGACTAGATTTCAGGTTACCAACTATACTATGCTTTATTTCTTGTTTATTATTTAGAGTTTTGCTGTGTAGTTGATCTGTAACATAAAATGTGAAATACATGTAGATGTGTGGGTACATACATACAAGTGTTTAGCAGGTTCTTTTATTGTTTGAACTGTGTGATGTTTTATGTCTGTCAGAATGACAACAGAAATAGATGGGTGGGATCTGCTACTACTGTATGTGGCCTCCATCTCATCTCAGTCATCTGAAAGCATGGGGCAGGGGCAAGGACATAGCCCACTTCAAAGGGATGTTTTAGACTAAAACTATTAGTAGTTGTAAAGCATTGGGGAAAGTCTGTACATATATGAGTTCCAGCGTTGTTGTAATGTTCGTTAAGAACTTCTGAAGTTCAACAGTTCTATTAACAACTTGTGCATTTAGAAAGATACAAGGGTGTAGTGGTAGGTTGTATGAAGTTAATTCAGCAAAAGATTTAAAAGTATTACTGAACTCATAGACCTGTTGGGCTAATAAAAGTATTTTCTTCAGCTGGCTCTATCTACCCAGATGGTCCAGATATCCACATAAAAATGTAACTAATACTCCTATGAAGAGTGAAGCTGAGTATCTCCATGGCAGAGCTTCTGTGATTATTCCACATGCTCCAGTCCTTGTCCCATTAAAATATCAAGAAAAACAACAATCCTCAAAGGATGTGAGGCCAAGCTAGCACAGAATCTCTTAAAAATTCCAAACTGGTAATTTCATCATTGTATTTAACCATATTCCTTGCAAGTTTTGTGGGTTTTTTTGTTTTGGGTTGTTTTTTTTTTGTTGTGGTGGTGGTGGTGATGGGGGTTTTTGTTTGTTTTTTACAAAGCTGCCCTGAGCATGAATGTGTTAGTCTCTAGTACAAAGTCCTTAGTATTTACTGAGTATGTATCGCGCATCCTTTGGAATGCCACTTATTTCTTCTGGTAGGTTTGTGATTTAGCTGTCCTCTCAGCATGCTGTTCTAACTTTTTCTCCCTCTTACAAGTTTGTATGAACCCTGCTGCTTGCTGTGTTTATGTACAGCAACATATGCACATCTGTATGAAGTAATGTGATGAGGATAACTTCACACTTACTAGCATGGCTGTCTTCAGATTGAAAAATACTTTCTGAGGTTCATTTCTTAGCATCAGCTTCCTGATTTCTTGCTTACTAAATCATGTAGTGTTTATGAAATAAAAGACTCCCAAGCTGTCAGTCAGAACTCTAAAGCTTTTCACAGACTGTAAATTCACATTCCTCTACTTATAAATAGAAAACACTATTGCAATGGCTGTAAAACTCTCTCTCTGATGATTCTGCAGCACCAACAAATCACAAAAAGAGATGGTTGGGATGCTGTTGTCAAGATCTTTTTTGCTCAGAATTTGGATTGTGCAAATAAGTGAGCTTGTGCTGATGATTTGTAGTAATCTGTTATCACCTTTCATCAAACTATGAGGAGAAACGAAATACAGGGTATTCCAGATGTGAGTCTGGTGCTTGTATACTAAGGAATCTGTATTTCTGCTGACTGTGAAGGACAGTGAGGGTGCTGTTGCTTCTTGTACTATTTCTTGTACCAATGACCAAATCCAAGTGACTTTGTTAATGTGTTGTAATTTATAATCCTTTTGGGCATATTTGTCTTTTCAGTATTCCTCTCTTCTGTTTTGCACCACTGTAGTTCAGATGTAGAAATTAGTCTGCAGAGGAGTAAACTTCCTCCTTTTCCATGTTATTAGCCAGCTTTTCCTGCGTGTTTTTGCTTATTGCTCTTAAAATAAGTCTTGCTAGGCTACTGACTTCTGCAATGTTCTGGCTGATCAATGCTAGCATAGTTTTCAGAATGTATTTTCCACTTCAGTTTCTGGCCCCTTCATTAAAAACGGAGGTATTTGGTATCAAGAAATAAATCTAGAAGAGATCTACCAAGATTTATTTTTCTTGTACAAGTGCTGCTATGGGATTGGATTATACAGCAGCTGGGGCTTGGATATTCACTCATGTATCATTTGGACTTCTGTTATACATCAGCCACAGAAGAACAGCCATTTTTGAGTTCCAGGAGCAGTGGCTCATCTAGTGGTAATGGTAAGACTGATACAGCCCTCTATGGAGTGAAGGATGCAGTACGCAGTTCAACACCGTGAAGATACAGAAGCTATATGGAAGTTCCTAAAAATGCTGACTGGATGAGGTATGAATGTGTCCAGCTTGTTTCAGGCAGAGGCAGTAGGAGAGACTCTTTAAGGAGAGTCTGCATGCTTGGCCATTTCCCTGGTCTGTAGTCCTCATGCAGTCTTAGCATCACACTTGTTGTATTAAGGGTTCTAGAGGCCTTTTGCCTGCACAGTCCTTCTGGTGTTTATGAAACTGTTTTCCATGAATTTGCTTCAATCCCACTTGATCCTGTTGACGCTGTCTGCCTCAGCAGCCTCCCATGGCAACAAGTTCCAGGGCTTTGCTACTTGCCATAGGAAGTACTTCAATTTGATAAGTACCCTCTTAGTTTCATAACATCTTCTCCGACATTCTCTATTATTTCAGGATTTTAATTGTTTGATCATGTTTGCATGAAGTTGCAATGCTCGTAACAACCTTTTAAAAATTGCACTGACATGCCACATGTATGTTGTGCAAGAAAATCTACCCAATTTCCGCAGCTGCAAAGGTGAAAACTTTATTTCCTGAGCATCTGTGCTGTTGCATTGTCATCTGAGAGGTTACTTTTTTAGGCGTTATTGTCACCAAGTGGTCCCACTGATCACAGGAGAGCTTCCTGCTTTTCATGTATTCAATGAATGTTTTAGTATTTGGGCATTCTTTTAAAGGCTCTCTTCAGATTCTTCTTTAGAATTCTTTATTTTGTGTTTACACTTGATCTGCTTTATTCTGTGGGCTTCTCTGTCTTAATTTCAGCAAGGTGTTGCAGCTTTTCTGACAATGAAAGCTGCTATTGCTTTCCTATTACACCCTCCATTTTGGTCTGTGCCACTCAGGTCACCTGGGCTTCTGACAGCATATTCAATAGCCTTCAGGCTTAGTGCAGTCTCAGTGGCTTTTGAATAACCCTCTTAAAGTTTCTGGAGACAGGTTTATTTATTTATTTGGGGGGCAGGAGGGGAAAACCTACCCACTGCTTTGCAGCAGTCTGAATTTAGCTTCAGTAACCTTTTTGCATCACAATATCAGTGTCTCATGCGAGCACGTCAGTTCAGCTAATGTTGCCACACCACCAGGTAATAATAGTAGCTTATATTTGCATTTACAGGAGATGCTAATATCCATACTGCTAAGCACTAGTCCTGGGCAGTGTCCTCCAATTAACCCAGCCTGCTGGCTGACATGTTTTCAAAAAATCCCTGCAGGGAAGCAGAGATTTACTTCTGTCTAAGGATGCTAAGGAGTAAAGTCTACCTGAAGAGTTCATAAAGAGGAAGAAAAATATGGGTTGCCCACGTTTCTAGTATGGAGAGGAACTTTTTTTGGTAGAAGTTTGGGAAGTGTGTTTCAGGCAGGTGAAGAAAGCAGTATTCATAAGGGATAAAATGTAACACTGATTTTGGAGTTGGAAAGGGAGACGAACTCACCTGATACAAAAATAAGTCTGTATTTCCATTGCTAGCATTGAATTTTTTATTTACGTTGAAAACTTACTTTCAGTACTGTAAGCAGAAAATACAAAGCCTTTAACAAGATATGAAAGCAATGAAAATGTTTCAGATTTTCATTGGGAAGGAGTCTTTGCAGACCAAAAAGCTTTGAGTCTAATTGCCTTCGGAGCTTTTGTAAACCCTGTTGAGTTTTGTCTGACAGCTAGAAAGTGCTGAAGGTGCTCCCTGTGGGTCGGTATCTGGCTGATATCTTGAACTTCAGATAGGTACAATTCCATAATGTTGCTTGCACAGCTCAGCAGTATTCATCAGATACAGAAATGATATGGAAATGACTGATAAATACTCTGCATTTGCTTTGTAACTGCTGTCACATTGCAGTTTAAGTTCAAAGAACTCCAG